ATCCTCTTTTAGGCATTCAAAAGGTTTGCAAACAATTCCCAATTAGATTATTTCTCTAAAAAGTTGAGCTAATACAGTTCCTTTTTCTTGGAATAAATATTTAGTTTATGAGCTAAAGTCTTAGTGGATAGAATCCTGCTTTATTACCCAAGACCACTAACAAGTTAAATGGATAAGAGACAAGCAACCCTTTGAAGGTGCCCAATTCAGCAATGGGAAACTCAAATAAAAGAGGCCTCCCAGAACAAAGAAAGCATGGAAACAAATTCATCAAATCTCCTCGTTACTGAGCACCCCTGAGTTCCCAAGCTGTATTTTCCTGTGAATGACAACTTTCCTAACTCCGGGAAAACTTCTGGTGATACCTAGTAAAAGCTCTGACACACTTCCAAATCCAGAATTAAAGATTAAACTTGCTTTTTTTCATGCAAACCCTTTATCAACTGAGATCATCACTGGCTTTTGTCTCTGATCAACACAAATCAAGCTGAGCACAGAATTTGATAAAAGAAAGGGGAGAGGGTGAGAAAGAGAAAGGAAAGGGAGAAGACGACTCTGCCATAATGAATTTGGGAGTCTGCTTCAAGATGCTACAGCCTAGTGTAAGAAGAAAAAATGCTTTCAGTCTAGTCCATACCTCTTAGATAAAGTTACAACTTTTCACTAAATTTAGTACATAAAACTTTTATCTAATCGACAGATAAATTTTACCACTTTCTTTTTCTATAGGAGTTCAGAAAAATAGAAACTTTTGTCTGAATAACTAAGGACATTTTTAAAATTTCAAGAGTATAAATTCAAAAAAAAAAATGTTTTATCCAAATTTAAGAATCTGGCATGTGATATAAACTCGAGTATATAATAACATATTCCTTTAAAGTCCAACTAGCTAACATGTTAGTCTACAATAAAATATGAAGATTTCAGAAAAAAAGAGAGATTTCAATAAAGAATGTGTTTACAGTTTAATGGATTGTAATGCAATTTCAACTCGAGACATTTTACTGCATGCCAATACAGGCAATGTGAATATAAATAAGACCCTCACAACCTAGTGGGATAGAAAAATATGTATACATTTCTACAACCACCAACCTTTTGCTTCAGGAAGACCTTTCAACATACAGTATAAGGGCACTTCATAACATTCTTTGAAGTCTAAGTCAGTTTACCAAACTAGCATTATTAACATGCCAAGGTTTGGTTACTGAGTGTAAAACGTAGGTTAGAGAAGGGGGAAAAACCTTCTCAAACTATAAACTATACGTCTAGCTCTGATTAGTAATAAGCACCATTAGTGAAAAAGGAAAACAGGACCAAGCAAAGGTTTAACCAGTTCACCATCACTTCCAGAAGAATAATTCAAAGTGGCTTATGCAGAGAGAAAAGAATTACTCTGATATACAAAGGGAAAGTATTTCACACTGTTTAATCTCAGCCAATTAAATATCAGATTGCCACAAGTATATATAAAGCCAAATATCTGATGGCTTATTAGAATTTTAAATACTCATTACTCATTTTCAAAAACAGTAAAATTTAGTTAATATCACTATAAAACATAATCATAAATTAAACTTTCAATTTTTATAATCATAGAAAAATAAATATTTGGATTTACCTCTAAAACTTTCTGGTACATTCGTATCTAGTTTTCTCTTTCCTGGTGAATCTAGAGGTTTTATATCATGACCAGAAAGCTTTGGTGGTAGAACAGATGGATGAGACTCTTTTTCCAGAAATTTAACAAAAAGTTCTGAAAAAGACTAAGATAAAATATTTGGTTATATTAGACTGGATAATAAAATTGTATTCACTACAATTAAGAAAGTATATTCTTGAAACATTAGAAAAACTAAACATCCATAAATCTATGCTATTAATTTCTATAAAGGCTTATATGATTTTCTTAAGGATAGCCTCCTTTGTCTAGAGGTCTTATCAGACAATTTTTGATCAAAATCTTATTTATTTTAATTTTTTTTTAAAAGATGACCGATAAGGGGATCTTATCTTAACCCTTGACTTGGTGTTGTCAGCACCACTCTCTCCCAAGTGAGCTAACCAGCCATCCCTATATAGGGTTCTGAACCTGTGGCCTTGGTGTTATCACCACCACACTCTCCCAAGTGAGCCACGGGCTGGTCCAAAATAGGGATCTGACAAAAGATCACCAGTAACATTATCAGAATAAAATAACATAGTGTAGACCTTTCCTTTAAACTAAACTTTATGCTATCTAAGGAAAACAGTATTTTATCTTTAACCAATTCTGGGTAAGTCACCTATTCTTAATGTCCTCTTTATTAATAATAAAAAAGAAACTCCACATTCTAACTCACAGTACAACTCAATTCAATTCATATTCATCTAAAGCCTACCACATACCGCACACACACAGTGTTTTCATGGTTACTGACTGCTTCCTCCTACCAGAATGTAAGTTTGTTAAGGGCAGGCACCTTGTCTATCTGGGTTGCAGCTGCATCCACAATGCTTGGAAGAGTCTGGTACATGGCAGGTGTTCACTGGCTCACTTTGCAACATATATACATGAGCAAAATAAGCCTCTATTTTCAAGAATCTTATGATTTACTAGCAAGACTGCCAATGGCAGCATAACCAAGCATAAAGAAAAGAACAGTTAATACTTTGAAAAATAAAAGTACCATATAAAAAGTTAAAATAAAACCTATATGCAATAAAATTATTAAAACTGGCTTGTTATCCTTAAGCCAATCACTTCTCTCTTCTCAGTTTTCAAAACTCCAAAATAAAAAGGGTTGCAATCACTTCTCTCTTCTCAGTTTTCAAAACTCCAAAATAAAAAGGGTTGTATAAAATAACCTGAAAAAGAAATCTGATTATTTGCAAATGAGTGCAACATACAACCATTTCACCATTCATATTCAGCAAGAATAAAATCGGGTTCTTACACTATTAAGCACAGATTGCTGATTTGGTCTCAAGGATGTGTTGGGGACACTTTTTAATTCTCCTCCAAGCCACCCAGTCATCCACCTGGTCACACCACCCTGATCTTCATGAAA